GTGCACCTGTTTGATGGCTCCTTGCTGCTCTGGCTGTGAGCACCTATATGGGATTCTTTGAATGATGTTGGGTTCATATGACATTGGAAGCTTTTGGCTCGAGGTGGAATTGATGCTTTAATGTTGGTAAAATGGAATACTTCGATTCTTGTTATTAGGAAGAATTCAAATGCCTCTTTTCGAGGAATAATTTGTTAAATGTTTGGAGATGTTTCAGGGCCCAATTCTGCGGGTTGAATTGATTGCAATAAAAGAGATGAAAAAGAAAAGCTTGAGAAAAGAAAAATCTTTTGATATTTGAGAAAGATTTGGGGAATAGCTTAGAGATCTCTAAATTGTGCATTTCGGAGTTGTTCCTAGCTAAGCTTGGGGATGTGCCCATCTCATTGCTTAATCGAGAAGTCCCACCAGTTGGATGTTTTAGGCTAATCCTCCACCACTTTGGCTTTTCTTTCTAAATTGTCTTTGGAGGGGTTAGTTTTCTTTTGCATTTCTTATTTTTTTGATTCATTTTCCTTGCTTCTTGGTTTGAGTTTTAGGCACTTATGTTCAATACATAAGTACACGTATATAGCTCTGGCTATATATGAAACCATCAAGCAAGGTCGTAAGTTGAACAGTCGTTTTGGGGTATTAGGCCTTGATGCTAGAGATATTCGGTGGTAGAGCGAAATAATATTTCATCCTACAATATTGGGACCCAATCCCGGGAACCGGTGAAGTGTAGGATGACAATATTATTCACCGACATTAAACTAGCAGGACATCTTTGCCTTCTTAGGTTGTTGGTGGTCTCAGCCCGATGGTTCGATCGAGTTGTGGACAATCATATTTTTATAAAAATGATAAAAACAAATACGTTATTTTCTAGAGTATTTTGACTACCAAAATTGATATCACTTTTCTTATATGCATGAAACCTATATGCATGCAAAAAAATATAAATTTTAAATAATATAATTCGATTGTCCACTTGTCAATAACCGGTATTGGGCTAAGGAGTACTCTCCTAAGTTGGTATAGTATGACATCTTTCTAGTTGAATGTCGGGCTCTATACATACGGGTGACCGATAGTTGCCGCGATAGTTGCCTTCGGAGTCCTTCGAGAATACCTAATTCTGAGTCTAGCCCGACCCAAATGCTTACGTTTATTTCTTTCTTCAGATTTTTTGGGTGTTTTCTTACGGTTTTATCAAAATCGGATTTTAATATGTTTTCATACGATTTTATCGAAATCTTTGTAAAGCACTTGTGATTTTTTCCGAATTTTCCTCGTGTTTTTGACGGTCTTATTCGAGTTACTTTGGGTCATTGTCGCCTTTTCTGGAGTCCTTTCAGGAGTCGTCGTTCCTTCAGGTGTGCAGGTTTGTTTTACATTTACAGCCTTTACTTTTGCTACTGCATGCTTTCCTGCGTATACACATAATTCATGCCTGTAATTCTACTGTTTGCTGCGTTCCGTTGCATGTTTCCTTTTATAATTCATGTTGTTTCTATGGACTTACAGGAGACTTTTAGGTTAGAGGCCAGTAGGACATCTGGTTTAGGAGGTACCCTGCAGTGAGCCATTGACCCAATAAATGTAAATTTATGCACATCACAATCCTGAACTTACAATCGATATGTTAAGGATCTTAGAGTATTTCCAAGAAGCGGAGCGTGGAAGCAAGCAGATCGAGGGCGACGATCGAGACCATGACGACGAGGCGTAGGATGTCTCCTTAGTGGTAAGGTCCAATCGTAGGATTATTAAGAAGTCACCGGGGTTCTCCCCGGATCTGTGACATCCCATACTTTTCACTCCATTGACTCCTGAAAAATAACTGTTCATATTTTGAGTCTTTCTCCCCTTGATTTCCTCACATTTATCCTTATAAACATAAACTTTGCAATCTTGAAGATAGAACTACTGATCTTAATCGAAAGTCTTCTTAAGTGGTTTTAGTCATTTAAAATGTAATTAACTATAGGGACTCGCCTCTATAGGGAACTTAAGAACCCAGTGTAAGATAAATCCTATTTAATCTCCTGTATTAAATAAGGGAACTTGTCGGTCAACATAAATGTTCGTAGACTAAAACGGATGTCATAAAATCTTTATGTTATTTAATCGAGCCGCACTAGTAAGTAATATGTCTATTCCTCTGGATATATGTATCGCTTATGATGTTGTGCTCGATCATTTAAACTATTGCAGATATAAGATTGCTTCGGTCTTCTATTTCAAAAAAAAATTAAAATATTACTTTTTTTTTCAAATTATATATGTATATTGATTTAAACCTCTTTTAAAATCGGGCGTCAAGATATCCATTCCGACGGCCGACAATTTTTGATTTTGCGACCGACAATTACCTCGTCATCCTATGATATTATCACCGAGAATACATTGCACATTATTGAAATGCATCAATCTATTCCTATTGATGAACAAAATGATGATTATTTTTACAACAAATTTCCAGAATGATTGGAGCTTTCAGAGTATTGACTTGTTGGCAAATGAAAAATTTGACGTTCTATGTACCAGAAGGGCCAGGAATCAAAATAAAATCTATCCACTCATCAGGCTTCAAGTTAGAAGACCCAAATGAATTATTGTATTTTTATGTTCTATTGTATCTTTTTTTTCTCATGCATTTATTGGTAGAGCGCTTGATGTACTCTTTTTTTAACTAGTTAGTAATTTTGGCTTCTAAAATTAGAAAAATGTTATGGCTAATTCCAATGTAGAGGCGGAATACAAAGCTATTACCTCTTTTGCATGTGAAATAATGTGATAAAGATCATTTTTGTGGAATTTGATTTTTAGGAAATTTACAAATGTAGGACACAATTCTTATGTAATTACATATCTCACATGTAAACTTTCATATTTACATACGTAGCATTTTGATGCTTTAAACCTACACATGAAATGTGGATTTCACTTTTAAAACGTTGTAATAGTGCTATGTTTGATTTGATAAGTTTGGGTGTGAGATATGTAAATACATAAGAATTGTGTGCTATGTCTGTAAATAACTAATAATCATCTTTATAGCTACTCATCTTATGGTACTATACTATGGTAATCATCTTTATATTACTAATAATCCCATGTTCAATGAATAAACTAAAACATATTGATGTTAATTGTCATTTTGTTTTGAATGTTGTGCTTCATAAGAAGATTTTCATCGTCATAGTTTCAATTCATAACAACCAGCTAATATTTTATAAAAGCTTGGGGTTCTCTATTTTTTTTTTTCTAAATTATCTAACATATTAGAGCTAACTGATAACTGCGCTTAAGCTTGAAGGAGTGTTAAAGTAGGGAAATATTAAATTAGAAAAGTTTTCTTATCTTTATTAAGTAGCGCAAGTTTATTTGATTCTACCTTGAAGAACTGTAGTCGCTCCTCTATATAAAAGACAGATACTTTAGTAAATAAAACTCACAAAAGAACTCTTTGAATTTTCTCATCCATGACCGGCATTTTGACATTTTCTTTTTAGCGTTGAAGTTATTTGAAAGAATTGTTTGCTACAGTGTCTTGATGTCATTATGCTGTTTATAGAATATGTGTACAATAATTGATGTGAAAAACTGAAAATGGATTGCAGCTTATTCTTTTTGGCTTGAGTACATGTTGATTGCTTCCACTTCACGAGGGTTGTCAATTGATTCTTGATATGCAGTACAAGTCAATCTGGTAATTACAAATGTAAAGTAATAATGCGCTCTGTTGTTTCTTAGGTCATTTTATTTTAGAAGAAATATTGCTTAGAAAAAATTGATTTTTTCTTCTTTATGTTTAAATATTAGTATGCTAGTATAGATATATTTGCAGAACTAGTTGATTTGCAATTTGATTTAACCAAGGAAAGAAAAAAAAAAAACTATGTTTATATTGTGCTTGTTATTTACGTGAGAAATCATTATGAATGTTGAATGTTCACCATTCAAGGGATGTAAATAGTGTAGAAACTGAATGTCCTTGTAAAGGGAAATATTTACATACAGAATACACACGCAGAGCTGCGTGCGTAATAACCTCGGCTTCGCAGTTATTAGGGGGTTATTGAGTTATTAATTTCAATAACATATAACCTCAATAACCTTCCAATAACCTTCGAGTGTTCTATTTCGATGTTATTCATAGGTTATTATGGGGGTATTGCGGGTTAATAGAGTACGCACGCATAACTGCGTGCGTATTCCGTATGTAAATATTTCCCCCTTTGAAAAGGTGGAAAAAGTTTCAAAGGGGGAAAAAGTGTTTATGGGCAATTAAGTCATTTTGAAACATTTGGAAATCTATTTTGTTTTTACAAAGTAGTTAATTTTGCTCCCCTCTTGACCAGAGTTGAATTTTTTTTCCCATGTATGTGCCTATCTATTTGTCACTTCATAATGAAAGTATAATTTCTTCCATCTCGGAATAATACATTAGATTAAATAGTCATACTTGGATATTTTGAATGGCAAAGTTGATAAATAGCATGTGTACATATTTGATTGAGACACATCCAACGCTATTATGTATGTTCATTAAACTCTTATTGGTGCATCACTGGACCTTCTCTTCTACATGTTTCTCGGCAGAATACAAACCAGTCTCGCACGAGCTTTTCTTTTTTCTAGCATTTTCTATGAGCTTTTGACATTCTTTTTCATTGTTTACAACTTCTTTTTTTCAAAGTTTTAGTTTTTATTTTAACTCCTGTTTTTTTCACTGTTCTAATTTTCATTACTTTGCTTAGCTCCGAACATTTTTTTAACTCTTTAATTTTTTCAGTTTGCCCTTTCTTTTTTCTGTTTATATTTAAATAATTGTCCTTTTACTTCACCTCTTAACTCAAATTTGATGTATCAAGACAGTCTTATTTCATTCTAAGCAGCTGCACTTGACATTGTTAGTCTACTTGTTTTATGTGATCTTCATACTGTACGTTCATTAGTTTTCTCTGTGATTTCTGCCATAACACCTGATTTTCCATTGCTTACGAGTTTAGGGTGAAAAGACATACAATTTCAGTGTTTGTTGGAGATGAAAGTGGAATGATTAACAGAATTGCTGGAGTCTTTGCTAGAAGGGGATATAATATAGAGTCACTTGCAGTTGGTTTAAACAAGGACAAAGCCTTGTTCACAATAGTTGTCTCCGGCACTGAAAAAGTGCTGCAGCAGGTTGTTGAGCAGCTTCATAAACTTGTAAATGTGTTGAAGGCAAGTTCTTTTCTGGCTCAGCCAAACTCTTTCATGCATGGCCAAGGTTTTATGCATTTTATGTCATATACTTGAGATTCAATAGCTTTGTTTCATGTTTGACTAATGGTATGATTTTGCTTGTCTACATATTTGTGAGATAAACATTTTTATTTAAAGGACCCTTATTAAACGTTGTAATTTGCTGTTTACACTATAAGAATGTAGAGGTTGGCATACAGGAATTGAGAAACGTAATTTGCATGCAAAGCAGTGAGAGTTGGATGCTGGAGATTGTTAAAAATGTGTTTTGTACCCTCTGCTATCTATGCATCAAGTTAAACCAATAACTTTCTTGTTCAATCTTTGATTGATGCATGCAGTCTAATGACAAATTAGGAGATTTCAACCACATAATTTGCATTCTAATGACTAATTGGATGTTCTCATAATAAATTAGTAATGATTATTCTCTTTCGTGTTTCAAGCTTGCTTAATTATGCCGTGTTTCTTTGGATCAATTTCCCGTGATCTTCTGTGGTGAGATATTGTCAAAGATTACCTTCCAGCTAGCAGCTCAAACTTTTTATGTCTAATTCATTTGATTGTTTAATTTTCTTCGAATGACCATTGTGGTTAATGGGAGAGAAAGTATTATATATACTAAACCTGTTCTGGTGGTTAATGATTGTGAAAAGTATTTGTGACCAGATTGAAACTCTTTTTTGCTTTAAAAATCCAATTTTTTGTCATTATGGAGAAACCCTTGCGTTTCTCACTTTAATAATCGTTATTCTATGCTAAAACTTGCACTTTATGGGCGGATTTATCAGTTCCAGTTTGTCATAAAATTTAACTAAGATGATAGGATTGAAATGCTGTATTTCATATCACTTATTAGCAGACGTTTGTTTAATGTTGATGTGCTTATTAGGTTGAAGATTTGTCAAAGGAGCCTCAAGTAGAACGAGAGCTGATGTTAGTAAAACTCAGTGTTGAACCCGGAAGTCGTCAAGAGGTAGATGCCCCGAATTATTCATTTTTCCTGTTATTAAGCATGTCCGTACACATACGAATGGGGACCATATCTAGTTAATAAGTACAAGATGTCTGGTACCTTTTTTTGCTGATAACTCAAAATTTTCAACTTTATGTTATGAAAATGAAAAACATAGAATCCTTTGTTAAAATGCTATACCGACCTTTCTGCAATATCCCGGTGATATTTTTATTGGTGAGTGGTGGACTCAACATAGCTAAATGGTTGGTTTGCTTTAAGCGGACTTTAATATTTTCTTTAATACATTTATATGTTCTTTAATGCGCACATTTTTTCATTTGATGGCCTGTGTTGCCTTGCATTACATGTCAATTAAATCATAATAAACTTTCTTTTTCCAGGTTATGGGTATGGTAGATATCTTCAGAGCAAAAGTTGTTGATGTTTCAGAACATTCATTAACCATTGAGGTGAATTCCTTGTAATGGTTTGGCATTTTTCATCTCATAAATAGTTTCATGTATTCTTCCAAATAAATGATGAATGGTACAGGTGACTGGTGATCCTGGGAAAATGGCTGCTGTCCTTCGGAATTTGAGGAAATTTGGAATAAGAGAAATTGCTAGGACAGGCAAGGTGACTAATAACTCGTGATATTTATAATTTGTGTATTATCTAAGTTTTTTGTTAACAGATTGCTTCGAGATAATTTGTGTATTAGAGCATTTTAACTTTCTAGTATGATATCTAAATTTTTTGTTAACAGATTGCTTTGATTTTAACTTTCTAGTATGATATCTAAATTTTTGTTAACAGATTGCTTTGAGGCGTGAAAAGATGGGAGAAAATGCTCCATTTTGGAGGTTTTCGGCGGCATCTTACCCTGATCTTGAAGGGATAAAGTCTTCAAGTTCTTTTCTCGCGTCAAGGAAACACACTATCAATGTTGATACAGATCTTTCTTCCAGTGTATGACCCTATTATTATCATCAGCCATGTGAACTATGTTGACATTTTTGGTTTTAAAATCATGCTATAGGAAAAAAAAAGGAATAATTCTGTAAGACAAAACCTAAATGGGTCTTACCTGGACGGCCTGACTTTAGTCCATTGCTTGACATGTGTTGCTGTACTTATCATGACACCTTTTTGGGAAATGTGTGATGATAAGAATTGCATTTATCACATTATTTTTCAATCGTCCTTGTGGAAGAAAGTTGCTAGGAACTTTATTGGCGAATGAGTGTCATTTGAGGATTATTTTGGCGGCATAATGAAAATTATTGTTAGATCCAGAAATTCGCGTCTGATTTTTTAAAGAGTATTAATCCAGGCTAAAGTTTTAGCAGGGTGATTAGATATTAGATAAACACTACCCAAAAATTTAACCCACATTTTGCGAAGTACTATATGATATGATTTTAGGTTTCTCATAAGTGAAAATCTCTATAGTTAATTATCCTTACCGATTTTGAGAGAAAACTTCCTATTATAGCTAGTTAACAAACTTCAAATATTCAGCTTATAGTAGCAATGATTTTGTGTAAGTCATTTGCTTAGAGCGGATGTTCGGAGAAATAATTACGAACTCAATCAAGATCTCATTCATCATCTAGAACTGTAATAGACTTTGGTCATTATAATCAATTAAAGTAATCGACCCAATCTGATTGAAGGATCCGTATCAACAACTATATGTTGCATTTTCCAAGGGGTTCTTGTAGATCTGGGGTGAATCTTTTTTAATGATTTTTTTGTAGGCTATCATGGCCTAAGTTAGAATACATGCTTTTGTGCATACTTCAATGGATGCACACATGCATCAATCCATCTATACGCCGTTCCATCCATAACTTATTGTTGCAATCATGAGAAACAATGCATGTATTTATATATACAATGATTATGGTGAGGAAAACAAAACTCTTACGTACACCAGCTAAAGGTTTTCTACGTACTGCTCTTCATGCAAGGTGCTTTGTTTATGCTTCCGAATTTGAATCCTGTTCATTTCTTTTGCTTTTCTTCAAGATTGGAATCCAATCTGTTGAAGATTTTATTTATTCTCCGCCTCTAGTTAAAGGCTCTTGCTACTCACTTCAAAGTTTAAATTATCACAATATCAAGTTAACACCTTGTAGTGTCACAATTTTATATGAATTCAAAGTTAACACCTTTTATGCTCAGTACTACATACAATATCAAGTTAAAGATGCTTTTGTGTAGGTATTGCTCTTGTTGTTTTTCCCTTAAATTTATTTTATTTTATCATTGGGTTTTGAAAATAAAAACTTTTATTTGGTTATTTATGAAGATATGTTGCGATTTTGTTGTTTTCTCTTATCTGTTTTTTATTTTGATTGCATGAAGGGAGATGTCTATCCGGTGGAGCCATTTGATAACATTCATGTAAGTCAAGTCCTTGATGCACATTGGGGAGTTCTTGATGATGAAGATGTAAGTTTTTTGTTCCCTTGCATTTTGTAGTTTTCTTTTTTTTCCACCACTAATTTTGTCTAGAGCTTGATGGAGATGATTTAACTTGGTGACTATTTAGTGGTTTACTTTTTCTGTTCTAATTCCTTGGAGACGTATGCATTTTTACTGTTGAGATTCTTTGAGGCGCCTTCCTTAATCCCTGTTGAGAAATTTACAAAAGCATCAAGGTTTGCTAGGCTCTAGAAGGTGCGGGAAAGATTCTGATAGGCTAACAAAATCATAATATGGGTAGTGTTGTGAGGGTTATGTGCTAGTTGTCACAGACATCATCTATTAGCCCTTATTCCAATTTAAAAGTCTTAACAATTTTTTAGGATTTTGACTTGGTTGAGAGGTCAATTATGTTAATGTTGGGTCAAGTACCAAATGAGAAATTGTCTTGGAAAGGCTTAGGATGAATTTAGATCTTCTTCAGCCTTTGACTATCTTCAATCACCTATTAGATAAACTCTTATCCTTCCATCATATTTTAGTGCGAGTTAGATCCTAAAAGAAAAGTGGGCATTTGGGAACCTGACTTTTTGTTGTTCATTATAGAATTACTTGGGGAGGAAAAATTGCTCTATTCATATTCACAAATAGGGTACATATATATATATACATATATATATATATATATCTATATATATATATTCTCTTTATTTAGAAATTTACCAAACATATGTTATCTAAATTAGGAAAGAAAATAATTCTGAATAAAAAATAGAAAAACATAAAATAAGAGGGGTAGGATGCGAGCAGAGAGGAGAGAGCCGTGGAGAAGAGAAATAAGCTTAGACGCACGAGATCTGAATTTTAGGGTGTTTGCCTCTGCGTTCTGTCGACTTTGCCTCAGACACATTCAATGCAATTAAGTAACCATGAAGGACTCTTTATTTGCTGCGGCATTTTCGTTGTATTTGCGCCGAAAATAGTTTGACGCTTTCAAGTAAAGTATTTTCGTCGAGTTAGCAAATTCAATGCAAACTCCGTTGCAATTCAGATTTAGGTTTCAACATTTTTAGTATATCTTTTGTGTTGAATTAATGAACACAAAGTAGATGCAAAATCCAACGTAAATATCATAATCTAGTTTTTGCCACACTTTAGATTGAAATCCGACTCTTATATTTGTGCCGGAAAAATCTGATGCAAATATCAGACGCCAAATATAACATCTTCTGTTGTGGCAGTTATTTGGTTATTCGAAGAAGTGGCAATTTTTAATCCCACATCATTGAGTATATTATTTTAGCAACTGACATTGAGGTAAACACAGTTAAGATATAAGACTATTTTTGAATTGGCTCGGTCCACAATCATTTACTCAAGCATGTTAGTTATATGAACTGACTTCTTTCTATAAAAGATTTATCAAGAATTTTAGTTCCATTGCAACACCTTTGACAGAGCTCCTTAAGTCAGACAATTTTTTTATAATTAAATGAAGCCTAAGCTAGCTTTGATGCTTTGAAGATGCGGGTTACTCAAACCCATGTTATAGCTATTCTAGACTTAAATCAAGTGTTTGAGGTGGAGTTTGATCTCTCCAATATGGGGATTAGAGCTATGTTGAATCAAGGTGGACATCCAATCATCTTTTTTAATTTGAAGCTAAATGATTTGAGGTAAAAGTATTCGCCCACAATAAAAAGTTTTATATCATTGCGAGAACCCTAAACCATTATAGTCATTATTTGTTGGCCAATTGATCATGAATCTCAGAGATTCTCTAATAACGAAAATAAGTTAAAAGGGCAGACATAACTCATGGGTAGAGCTTCTTTCATCACCTTATTTTTGTGCTCAAGCAGAAGGCTGGGAATCAGAATTAGGTAGCTAATGTGTTGAGTCGTTGTCACTTCTGATGACTTCTGTGCAGTTGAAGGTAGTTGTTTTGAAGTGTTGAATGATCAGTATATTACCGATGAAGACTTTCAGTAGATTTGGGTTCATTGTCAGGAGAGATTTTATGAGCAGTATCATATGTCCAATAGTTATCCATTCTTCTAAAATAGGTTGTGTATTTCTAGGAGTTCACTAAGGGAGGTATTCTATTGGATTGTCTTAATGGAGGAATGGCATAACATTTTGGTATGGACAAAAACTATCTTCTTTTTTTTTTTGCGAAGGAGAATTTTTGTTAGCCTAAATTGGTACAAGACATGGAGAGCCATGTTTGACAATATATTGACGTGAGCATGTACTCTATTGTGAGCCTTTCACGGACATAATGGAGTAAGGATTTTATTATGATAGTAGTAGATCATTTCTCTAAGAAGTCACCTTGTATTTTGCCAAAAGATGATGGACATTTCATACATTGCAAATTTATACTTCAAAAAAATAGTTTGTCTTCATGGCATGCCTAGGATCTTTACTTTAGATTGGTATATGAAGTTCTTGAGTTAGTTTTGGAGGATTCTATAGAGTAATCTTGATACAGATTCGGTTTAAGTTCAATAGCTCACTCTTAGACAGATAGTCATACATAGATGGTGAATCACAGCTTAAGTAACCTACCCAGGTGCTTTGTGGGCAAATATATTAGACAGTGGGGCTTGATTTTCTCATTGGTCGAGTTTGCTTATAATCGTTCCATTCGTCAATCCACAAATTGCATCTCCTTTGGTATTGTATATAGGTGAAGCTCTCCACACCATTAGATTTAATGCTAATACTTTCCGCCACTGTGTTTACTACCAATGTAAATGCTATAGTCAAAGAAATTCAGACCTCTCATGAGCATGTAGGAAATGAAATTGCCAAGCAGAACACAGAGTATTAGAAACAGACTAAAAAGTCCAGAAAAACTATGATCTTCAAGGAAGGAGATTTGGTATGGATCAAATTTAATGAGAGGATTCTTATAGTTTCATTTGATAAATTCAGACCTAGAGATGATGACAGGATTATTAAGAAGAACAATGATAATGCATACAAGTTTAATTTGCCAACATCCTTGATATCTTCAATATCGTTGATCTGTCTCCTTACTATGAGGATCCAAATGTCTGCAGTGATAAAAGCACAGCTCCTCCTACCCAGGAGAATGTGGGCATTTCCATGTCTGTCTAGTCGCACGAGGAAGGGAGGTCCCAATTGGTCTTTGTTATAATTTGTTCAGTCGGTTCAGCTTTCCCGGCCCCTATGGCTGGGCTTAACCTCTCAAAGCCCTATTTACCTTAATTAGATTAGTATTAGGATTTTTTTTCTATGAAATGTATAACTATATTGTTTAGAACCTGGTTTGAGACGGTTTTGCTTTAGTTTATATTATTTGGAGATTAGTTTCTCTATTTCTTCTAATCGGAGTGTTGTAGCTTTTTCTTCTCTAAGTGGTGATGTTGTATCTTGAAGCGGATAGATGAAGGTTCCGTAAAAGAACCTGAAAGAATGAACAATGTGGTTTGAAAATTGTTTTTTAGATGTTTTATTTGTTTGTTTTGGAGTTTTGAGGACTACTGCACCCGACAGGAATATTCTCTTCGAGGTCTTTGCCGTGTCCTGGAAAAGTGGATCCTGAGTTGTGAATCTATGAAAGAAAAAATCTCTGTTTATGAAATATGTCTTTCCTTTTATAGAGTATCCATTTGGCTATTATAGGATTTCTTCACCATTGATTCAGATGAAACTCACATAGAAAACTATGTTCTCCAAACAAGTTAGCATAACAGTCAGCCTTCAGATAGGGAGGGAGCTTTTGTGAGTAAAAATGTGTGCTCTTCTTTCATTGTATTTTTTTTTTTCTGCGTATATAAGGTTTTTCCATCTGTTATAAGAGTTCATGTTCCAATTCTCACTGTAAGTCTTGTGTTTTTAATTTGTATATTTTAGTCTTATGGCTGGGAAACTCGCCTCTCTAGGCTCCAGAATGAATTTTTTGCTGTTTGTAAACCCTTATTAGTCATTATTTTTATCAAAATCTTCGGTCCGCCTGTTGCCGAAAAAAGATTATGCAGTTCAATGCATATTTCTAAATAAGAAACTGTCTACACAAAACATAATAAACATGTTAAAATTACAAGTTGATATTGCACAAAAGTATCTGAAACCACGAATAGCTGGTTTAAGACGTCCTTCAAAATAAATATGATGAAGCTGGGAAAAGGCTAGTTAATTTGATCAACTCTAGTGATATCGCTATAGATCTAAATAAAATATTCAAAAATACTTTTTATAGAAGGAACCATACTGGTCTTTTATGACAAATAGTTCTTATGAACAATGTATCGTTTAGATGACTACTTTTGCACCAGTACGACAATATTAATCCAATCATGTTTCCAACTAAAATACTGATTTTTATATCACAGCCAATCATGAAAATACACATTAAACATCCAGAAAAGATCATTTATGATACTTTCATAGAATTCTAACAGGAGATTCACAGCTTGATTAACTACATATAACTCTTTAATGGCTATCAACAACATCACATAATTATTAATTAATATAGTAATTCTCTCAAAACTAAGGACTTTTTCTTTGATTCGTTAGAGCTTGAAGAATCTCTATTATTTAGCTGCTAATGAACATGAAACATCTAGTTGCACACAACTATCTATAGTTGCATTTAGTGCATGACCTCGGGAAGAGCTTTGTTTTGTCAATCCGTCTAATAATCCTGACTTTTCTTGCCATTGTAAAAAAGACCATTGGGAAAGCTATATAAAAATAAAACACTCAACAAAATTTTGGATTTGCGGTGCAAATTCATCATCTTTTTAGCAATTATTTAAAAATTGGTTATATTCCTATCATAAAGCTTAAAAGTATATATGATGAAATGGACACAATAAATTACACAAACAGTTCATTTACTTTCTGAGCTTGATAACGTTAAATTTCTAGACTTTCTGATTAAAAATTTAGAACGCCCTCAAAATGGCACAATATTTAAGCCTTGGAACATTTATGCTTGCCGTATATAACTTTAAAGTAACAACCGTATTTAGGAATTTTGATTTGGAGATCCGATGTATGCCAACTGTTTCTAGTTAATCATGTACATGTAATTCCTTTTTGTGATCTGCTTTTCTTATTTGCTTGATGCCTCAATTATTTTTGGTGTGTGGCTTCACATAATAGTTTTCCTTGTCATTGAAATTTCAGTTCTGACTCTTGTTTTTGTTCTTGTAGTCAAGTGGCCTTTGTTCCCATACATTGTCCATTCTTGTGAATAATTATCCTGGAGTTCTCAACATTGTGACTGGCATCTTCTCTCGCAGAGGTTACAATATTCAGGTTTTTTCTGCCATAATTTCCTTGTTTAATGGCTTCTATCTAATGTGCAAGCTATTGTGAATGACGCCCTTCTTGTCCAGAGCCTTGCTGTTGGTCCAGCTGAGAAAGAAGGGACATCCCGAATCACTACAGTTGTTCCTGGAACTGATGAATCCATCAGCAAATTGATTCAACAGCTCTACAAGCTCATAGATGTTTATGAGGTAAATCATAGAAGCTATTTCATTCTCTTTCCTCCATTGACAACAACCTCGGTTTCTTTATGATGCTGTTTGTTTTATCAGGTTCAGGATATTACACATTTACCATTTGCTGAAAGAGAACTGATGTTAATAAAGGTTGCTGTTAATACCAATGCACGGAGGGACATCCTTGACATTGCTGACATTTTCCGTGCCAAAGCAGTTGATGTATCTGACCATACAATCACACTCCAGGTATCCTACAATTCTAAGTTCAGAATAACTTGAAAAAGAATTTAAACTGTGAGTTTTCCATAGTTTCACTTACTATGTTCACTTGTGTTCCCCATGATGACAGTATATGGCCGGAGATATTAGCATCATTCAACTGTGAAATTTGCAAGATTCTATTTTTGAGCTAAGCTCATAAATCAATTATATATGAAAGTAATCTCATGCTATACTTGGGATAAGAATTTTCTTTCAAATAACAGTTAAGTGTTTGATACAATTCAAAAAATAATAATATTTTATTCTTACATTTATTGTATGATTCTTTATTTAGGGTTATTAATGATTCGATTTCGAGATGATTTGCTTTATTTTAGAGTAGCTCAAACTTATTTTATTTGATATTATGTTGAATCAATCCTATATGCTAGTTTAATTTAATTTTTGGCCAATCTACTTTCCAGCTTAGTATAGAAGGGAAATTTCAATTTATATTACTCATAATAGGCGAAATTGATTAAATTTTCTCACTATTTTACTCAAAAAGTATGCTTGAATGTTTGTTTTAAACCAATATATCCTCACTGCTTATCTGACGGTCGAAACTTTCAAGGAAGAGTAATGGGATTTTTCAGTCATAAGATCTTAACTGTTCCTTTTTCACAATATCTCTTTGTTTTCAGCATGCATGTTTAGAGTGCGATGATATTTCATTATTGCAATCTCTTTCTACTTGTTGTAAGTAAAAGTTGGTGATTTTGTTTCTTTGGTTTATTTAAGATTGAAATTGTATTCATACTTTAAATTCTAAACCTAGAATGCTAATAGATAACAAATTAGCTGCTAGCAATTTGATCAAATGATGATTATCAATGATCAACATATCTTCAAACTATCTTTGAATAATGTTTGAAACATAATTGATTAGACTCGAAGATGAATCGAATTAGAAGTTATTCACATCGAATAAATATTCTTTGAGGATAGTTTGATCCTTGTTCGATCATTGTTTGAAGACTGCTTGATTATTACCCCATTGATTGTTTAATATTTGTTTGATCATTATTCAAAGATACTTCAAACAAGGATCTATGCTTGTTCAATCCTTATTCGATCATAAGTCGATCATCATTCGAAGATTGTTCACTTATTTTTTGGTTATATCTCAAACAAGTATCCATCCTTGTTCATTTTTTAATAACACTTAACTAATAGTTCACCCGTACAAACTCAAATATATTAAGAGAAAATGATTATTTTTAAAATTCTTTGTTTTGAGTCATTTGGTGATTATAGATGTGAAATATTATGATCTCAACTCGATAATCAAATAAATTATGAATAAAAACTCCTTATTTTTATTCACATCACCTAAACATATAATAAAAAATATGTCCACAACAATCACGATATAATTTCTTCTACGTGTATATAATGTCTGTAGAAGAAGTTATATCATGATTGCCAAATGAATAGATCTAAACCAGCAACATATTTACGATCAGGATCTAAGTAGCGACCAATAGCCATGGATAAAATAATGGTGAATAATTACAACTTGGTAGGTTACTTAAAATCTATTGTAATTTTCAATATATAAAGATAAATGAATACAAATTTATTATAGGCAGCAATAACAAAATATTTTATAAATTTTCCTAATTTCTTTTCTAGTTTCGGCATGCTTGTTTAGACTGCGGTGATATTTCACAATAGCAATCTCTCTTTACTTGGCGTAAGTAAAAGTTGGTGACTTCGTTTGTTTAGTTTATTTAATATTGAATATTGTATTCATATTGTAAATTCCAAAACCAAAGTGCTAATAAATGTCATATTATTTGCTATCAGCTTCATTGAATGATGATTAATCAATGATTAAATTGTCTTCAAACTATCTTTGAACAATGATTGAAATATAATTGATTATTGTTGAAGATGTATCAGAGATGATTTGATCATATCATTTGAAGATGCTTTGAGGATAGTTTGATCCTTATTTGATTATTCTTCGAGATTATTTGATTATTATTTAAAGATAATTCAATATTTCTTTTATCATTGTTTAAAGATATTTCAAACAAGGATCTATTATTGTTCGATCCTTATTCAATCATAAGTCGATCATCATTTGAAGATTATTCGATCCTTATTCATTTTGAGTTTTGATGATAGTTTCACCATTTTTTGAGCAGCTGTATACTCTGTGCCTCAATTTTTTCTCCATTAATACTTCTTATTTGTAATATATAACTCATCTTTTTCCAATTTAAAATTTTTCTTGTGAATTTGCGCATGAAGTTCACTCATGAAATGGCCTTCGTCCTTCCAAACAGCTTTCTGGAGATTTTGAAAAGATGGTAGCATTGCAGAGATTATTGGAGCCCTATGGTATTTGTGAGGTTTGTTACCTTTTGCTTAATTTCTGAATAGTTTAAAATTTTTTTGTGAACTCTATTACTTAATATATATGATCATGTCGGTTGTACACATACTCTGATTTCTCGCTTTTTTCCAGCTACAATTGATTGTATTTTTTAATGCATGAGGAAAAATTCTCACAATATTATATTATGAAATAACAAACAATATGATATGCCAATAAAAAAATCAGAGTAGCAACCAATTGATTGTCCAAAAGACAAGATAATGTGATCGCTCCAAATCTTGAAGGAAAGTTGCTTTTATTTGAGGGGGAGGTTTAAGGTATAGATGGGGTTTATTATGGAGTAAGCAATCTTCTAACTGAAGACCTTATCAAGGAACATTCAAGACTCCTACTACTCCAACCTGTTTGCACCCACTGAAAGGAAATTTACTTGAAGGTTAAAGTATAAACTTTGTTCCAAATTAGAGCCCTAATCTTATCGTGCCCCTTCTTCGTCTCAGCTCGAACCCTTTGCTTTTGCTTGGCTTTGGGCCTCACTCGGGTGCTTACTTTGTCCTCCTTACAAGTTGCTGATCACTGTCGGTCGTTATTTTAATTTTAAAACTTGTTTTTGCTTAGCTTTATGATTTTTTGAAAAAAGGAGTAAGTTTTATAAATATGAAAATAGTTTTGATGTAAATTTAATTTTCGAAAGTAACATTATAATTTAAAAATAGATGAAGACCAAACGAGTCTCATATTTTGGATAGTTTGGATGACTAAGCACGATACCACGAGCAATATACTTATCCCGAAGAATAAACATATCACTTGTAGTAGACTCAATCACCTAAACTAAAGAATTTGTGATATCCGTTTGGTCTGCGAAATATTTTATATGAGACCAACAAGTTCCCCTACGTAATATAAAAATTAGATAGAGTTTAATTTACCTGAGTTCTAAGTTCCCTATAGAGGCAAACCCCTATAGTTAATTACATCTTAAATGATTGAGTTCATTTAAGAAAACCTCTCGATTAAGATCAGTGGTTTTGCGTTCAAGATTTCAAAGTTTAGGTTTCCAAGATTGGACATGGGAAGATCAAGTGGGAGTTGCTCAAAATAGGGACGATTATTTTAATGAATTTAAAGGAATGAAAAGTAGAGGATATCACAGATCCAAGAAAAATCTCGGTGACTTCCCAACTGTCCTATTGTTTAGTTTTATGTCTTTGAAATGATCTTATTTAATATTTAATCCTGTAATTTATTTAAAATTTAGGACTTATACTCGCATAATATCTAATCATGCAAATAGCCTAAAAAGATAGGAGGATTTACACCGTACCGTACAATAACCTCAGAATCATAAAGGTGTTATGACTTATAATTGCACAATAAGGTTGTGCAAAAGCCTAAAGGTGATGTTTTGGGTTGTTATTTAAACTAAAAAAGTGATAGGAGATGTGAAATTGTTTTAGTGTTGCTAATCAATCTTAAGTTGCACTTCTGAATGTCCTCGTCGTGCCACATTATTTGCTCCAAGCTCTTCGGCGTAGCCCCTCCGGGTCTGTTATTAATCCTATATATAACCATTAGATTCTCCTAAATTAAGGTATAATGTGCATCAAAGTAACAAAGCATGCAGTATAAAAGAAAAGAACAAATATAATGTACAGTAAAGAGAAATAACAGTATAGCATGCTAGGAGAAAAGTACAACAAACTAAGAAGACATTATAGCAGATTAGGAAAACAGTATAACATGCATATTATAAAATGTTGTAATGTAAATCACACATGTGTATTTAAGAGGTCTGCTCCTTTAAGCTAACTAGTATTCACTGTATAAGCGAAAGAAACATTGTCTAGAAAATTCGAGAAAATTGACAAATAATCCCCGATGGAAAATTTGAGAAAATTGATGAGTAATAATTTAAATAACACTGTCAAAACCTCGGGAGAATCCCGGAGAAAAGAGACTATGAGTGTTTTGTCCAAAATTTCAAGAAAAACATACAAAAAAGTCCGAATAGAAGGGACCGCAAGCACTCGGATTAGGGCTTAGGCTCAAATATATATATTTGTACTCGAGGGTTGTCGAAGGCTACTCGGTCACCCGGATGTATAAAACCCGCCACTCCATTAGAAGGATATCCTACTGAACCTAACTTAGGAGGGTACTCCTTAGCCCATGATCGGTAATCAACAAGTGGACAACCCAAATATAACATATTTTAAAATTTAAGCTTTAGCATACACATATTTCAAGTATACAGAAGAAAAGTTGTTTTTTTTAAATTTTGTAAATGTAAATATTTTTATAAAAGTTTAGACAAAATGTTCAAGCTCAGCAAGTTTAGCAAGGCTAGACAAAATGTTCAAGCTCAGCAAGAACAAAACGAGCCCACACAGCCCATACCAAGCCAAACCGAGCCTAGCAAGGCTAGACAAAATGAAAAGAGCTCCCCACTAGAGCTAAACCAAACTCAGCAAGAAATAAATTGCAACGAAAATAGCTCCCCATTAGAGCTAAACCGAGCCCAGCAAAGTCAAAACACAGCCAACACCTCATCCCATCTAGAGCCAAGCCAAGTTCAGCAAAAAAATAAATCGAAATGAAAACAGCTCCCCACTAGAACTAAACTAAGCTCAGCAAGAAACAAAGCCAAAAAACGAACTCATCAAGGCACCAAAGCCAGATCCAACCTGCAACTGGATCGAACCGAGCTCAATCGAGAAACAGAGCCAAGGCCAAGCTCCCTGACAGGAAACAAAACTCAAACCAGCCCAACAAGGAGCCAAGCTCAATCGAGAAACAGAGCCAAAGCCCAGCTCCCTAACAGGAAACAAAACCACAGCCAAACCAACCAGGAATCAAGCTAAAGCCAATCTCCAACTAGAAATGAAACCAAAGCCAGCCACTTAAAGCCCAAAATCGAGCTCCACAACATTAAAATCCAGATTCCCCTGAAGCTTTAAACATCCAACTGTTTCAAC